TAATGAAATTTTCAATTTGTTATATAATCCTCAACAAAATATATTCATTTCCAAATCAGAATCAATTGAGCGTACATTCGTTCAATGGCATACATCTAGTATTGTTCTTTTGAAGGATTTTTTATTAAAATTTATTTCATGAACAATAAAAATTTTAGAGCAATCTTTTCGCATTCAAAATACTTGGTAAAAGAAAATTTCTATCCTTCATATTGTATGAGTGAAACAAAACAAAAAAAATATCGAATTAATTATTTTAGATAAAAATAATTTCATCTAAGCAAAATACAAACTCATTTTAGTAGCTATCAAGAAATCGAAACAAACCCAATGAAAATATGTGTTAATAAGTCTTTATCTTACACAATCACAAAAGTAAGGACTAAAGAGTGAAAATTATTCTACTTATTCTTATTTCGTTGAACCCTAAGTTGTTTATTCTTTTACGAAAATGAAAATTATTTTATTCAACTGAATAGAACATTTCTAGAAGGAGTTTATCTCAAATGTACAAATACACATAGTTCATAATGACACGACATATGTATCGAATTAGAAACGAAGCATATCATCACAATATCACAGACATAAAAAAAGAAGAGAAAAGAAAAAAAAATACTCTCCTCATGTAAAATAACAATAGCTGAATGGCACTATGTATCAAATAAATATGAAAGTAATATTGTCACTTGTTCAGTCTAAAGGTCAACATAAACTCAAATGAGCTGAATATGAACAGATGATTTCTAGTTTTAGTCATTAAAATGGTCTTTTAAAAAGAAAACATCTAAGAGCGACCGTATGTTAAGAACATATATAAAATAATTTGTTCACCCATTTTGAAAAGAGAGAAAGGGAGAAAGAGAAAATAGAAGTGTTATATGATGTGTACACTTCGAAATAGTTGTTCTTTCTTTCTTTGTCGATGTACTCACGTCTCAAGACAATTGTTGGGTAGAGTCAATAACAAAGTATAATTGTGAAAAATAAAATTGAACAGTTTGATTAGCATAGATTAAAAAATAATCGTCTTAATTCATTATAATTGATTTTTACTTTTATTACAAAAATTTTTAACAAAATTAACAAAAATAAGTAGATAACTAAACCTGCCTGTATGATCTCATTTTAGTAGAGGTTTCTGTTTGTCTTTTAGAACAATCTCAGTTATGTTTGCATCTTTTTATAACAGATACGGAGATCATAAATGCAAGAGGCTGCTTATCAAATAAAAACAACATCATAAAAATAAGTAAATAAACAAAACAAAAACAATAAAATTGTTCTGTGTCCCTTCGACTACTGCAACTGAACTTACGACGGATAGACATACCGGAGTTCTCCTCGAAAGTTTTATTTCGGACGACGCATGCACAAAGACGGGTTGCTATTGATTTATATAAAGTTTGCGTAGAAAGTAGAGTAAAAAACAAACAGAAAGTAGCTTAATAGAAAATTCAAGTATTCTCATTTCAAATTAAATCGATATCGTTTTAAGAAAATTTCTTTCAGCGACTCATGCACACAATTGACTGAAGAGTTTATTAAAATGAGCTTCTATTTCTGCTTCTCATTCTTACTAATAAAAATAAATGACATGTTTTAATCACGCTCTGTATCTTGAAAATAAAACGGTATGAACGTCTGTCGTACTGACATGTTCTATTACACAAATTTCCACTGATAAATAGCTAACAGATAATTTCATCCTTATGCTACGCTACACTTTCACATTCAACTACATAATCTTCCATCAAACTTTTAATATAAAGCATCATCACTTTTAGTATTCTCCCTAACATTAGACTACATTGTGGATGGAATCACTAATTGAGAAATAAATCGATAAAATCCATTCAAACTAGGAACTGAAGCAAGTAAAACAAAATAAAATTCTCAATGCTACAGGAGAAACGAAGTCTCGGTCTAAACTTGAAGAAAAGAATAAGCTGTCAAGGCAAATTCTCTTTCAATGACACAGCATGCAGAGCCTTGAGTATATAAAGTCCGTGAACACGTTCAACGTAGAAAAGGCACTAGATGAGACACAGCAAAACAAAAAGCAGCAAGCAAGCAAATAAATTGTCAAATAACTCGAAAAACTAGAAAATCGGCGATTGGATAAAAAAGATACCAATGATGAAATCCACAAGATGGCACCACACACAGATTGCAACCGTGTTACAACGACAGCGGTTAACGGATTTGAAGTAAAAATGATAACATTTAATAATTTTTAGAAAGAGATGAAATGTTAAGCAAGACCTTAGAATGAACCAAACTTAAATCATAAACTTTTAACAGACAGCGAAGCGAGTTAGAAGTTGAACGATTTTTTTTGATGAAACTGAAGATAAATATTGAAGTATTTTTCTGATATTTACGCATAAAATTGTCTGCTGCCTTCGTACTACTCAACGGCATCAAAAATAAGTGTGAGTAGTTAGGGACAAATCGAGATTAAACTCTTGTTTCTCTACAGTTCATCAAATATACGCTTGTAATAAACAGAGAAAAAGGAGTCAATAGTACGAAAGATATAGGCATTATATGGCACGTTCAAAGAAAGAAATTTTTAAAGCAGCGGTGTCTATTCCCATAGAAGCGTTTGAGGCCTTTTGTACCCACCTCAGAGGTTCGAGTCTTCAGTGTACCATCTGGAAAATGGATTTTAACAGCAAAAAGCGCCCCACACCTACTTTTATTTGAGGCATTGTGCCTAGACGAACTTTTAGAATCGCGCCATGATCCTAAGCCAAATAAAACCGAGTATGGTTAAGAGAAAAACTAGATACACCCAACCACTAATCATATTCTAAAGCAGAAGAACAGTCTAGTGGTACGGCTAACAATGGTCATGATGTGAGTTCTGAAAATAATATTTTGAGTTTTAGGAATTCATGTTTTGATTGCTTTTGAGAAACTCTGCTTTTGAGAACTTCAATCAGGAACACGACTCTTGATGTGAAAATTAACTTTCAGAGTAAAAAATTAAATAAAATTCTAATGTTTCTTTATATACGTTTAATTGCAAACAAAACGGTGAGTATGTTCTGGACCGTGATTCACGTTGCGACTATAGTTTTCCTCACGTTTTGCAAAGTGACTCAAGGAATTTTGTGGCGTCAGAATCATGCGCAGCTACTCACTTCGGGAGTTCTAGGACTTTTCTAGGAGCGTGTCGCACCAAAACCTCTTATCGTGATTCATCGCTGATATCTTTTGAAAAAAAAATAAGATTCTAGCGTGATCGCGATGTGACAGAACGGATCCATAGTGATTCGTTTTTGGTCGTCATACACTGCAGGATTGGGTAGGGCAGGGGTAGGGTTTTGTTTAAAATTTTGTTTTTCGAATAACCTATCAAGAATAGATACGAACAATGATAATTACGAACCGTTTGCTCAGTGTGTCGATTGTAATCAGTTATTGGCGTATAACGTGACACCAGAAGTTCGACATTCTCAAAATTTTCAAAGCGTAAGGGAGAGCTAGTGCTCAACAAACAATTACCTTGTCGTCTAAGAAAGAGTACGTGTCTCAAACTTGTCAAGTTGAATTAGTTCAAAAATTGTTTCTAAACTGCACTGTCGACAATAATATTACATATGGAAAAACTGATATCCTTTATTTTCTCAATGTCTGCTTCTAATTCATATATATATAGGCATTCCTTGCTCATATAACCAGTTCTTATTTTGATAACAGAAATTGTAAGAGTACGCAATTGATATCTTCCGAATTGTTCGTTAGAATAAACCCCCAGTGAATTTTAAAAGTGTATAACGATTGATATTAGGATGATTATATACAACTGGTCAATGCAGAAGAAAAGGATGACTGACTTGTCCAAGTACTTGGCTGAAAGTCAAGTAACGACCCTTGACAAGTTCTTGTTCAAGTACTTGCCAAGTGTTTAATTTGTCACGTACTTCTCAAGTACTCATCAAGTAATCAAGTGATCAAGTACTTGTACCAAGTACTAGAGCAAACATTTGTATAGAGGCTATCAAAATTACTTAAATGTTTTATACCTTTACATAACTTTTTCAATGTTCACGGTTTATTATATCTAATGTATATAATAAATAGTTTTTACAACACATCTATTGATCCTTTATGAATTCTTACAGTTTATTATATACAATTTACATCGAAACTATCACTACAGTCAGAGGACATGAAAAACTGCAAACCTACGGCGTAAATGTAACTTGGATGTTGTTTAGGTTTTAGTTATTTTTTTGAATCTAGAACACCAGATTGTCTGTAAAATGCAGATGTCAGACATGGCAGAAGCGAATTTAGTAGCTTTTTTAATTTTTACGTTGCCTATAAGTATACGATTAGAACAAGGATCAGGTGAAAAAAGAGACAGGTTGCCTAGTTATGATCAAATTGGGAGTATTATTTTTAGAATTTAAATCATTTTTAGAGTTTTTGTTAGAAAATACTTTCCAAAAGTATAGCCAATATAAATAATAATTTCTCTACTGCACCAAGTAGATACAGTGCTGAACCATCAGCACTATGGTATACCAAAAATTTTAAACAATTGTCTCACGTTTTTCTTCAGTGTCTCTCCTTTCCACACACATGCGTACATAAGAGAAAAAAAGGTTTATGAAACAAAATTTTCGAAAACAACAGAGATTATCAACACACATTTAAATTAATATTTAAAAGTAAAAAAAGAACAACATTTTTATTCCCTTGTAATATTTGACTGTTATAGAAAATACAAAATACAAAATACATTAATACCGTATATCCACATGTACAAGATTTTCTTGATCGATACGTTACGCAAATTAACAAATACATTTCGATCACAGATAGAATTGAAGTTAATTTATAGAGAACAGCGTTTAATTATTCATTTTACTTAGATGTAAAACGAGCAACAAATAGAAACCCTGAAACGATGGTAAAATATTTAAGAATAACTCGAACAATATTTGACAATGATAAAGAATAGAAACGTCAACGTAAAACAACCTTCAACCATGATCATTATTCGATTTAATTAAACCAAATCGTTTTCCGATCGAACGAAATTTCGATATTATTTCATCTTGCATTAATTTAAAACTCATGGCCATAACAATCATGCCAAATAGTAAAAATATTGAACACATTGCCGCTTTACCGGCTTTATTCTCGTTTAGTGTTCCTTTACCGGGAACCTAGAATAGAAAGAAGAGAATGAGAAATCATATTCTCTCATTCTTCATCATATTGAGAGATACTGACCAAGTCCCCAAATCCAATGGTAGTAAAGGTAATGAAACAAAAATAAGCACCATCAAGCACAGGCCAACGTTCCCATTGTGCAAACAGTAATGCTCCCATTGCAATATATAATGCCAATACGGCTAATGTAGCAACAATAGGAACGTGTCGTTTTTCTCCATCCTCAGACTAAATTGAAAAATATTACATAAGAAATTTATATTTATGAATTAAATTCTATTAACACGCATACTTCTGGTTGTTCAAAACTTCTTCTCGTGTTTACGGGCATAAATACTTTCAGTCTACCGCGACATAAACGTTTCATAGCAAAATTGACTAATTTTGAATATCCACTAATGAAAGCGTCGGCTAAAAGATCACCAGTATAAGTTAAACACATGAACATCAAAGGGATTCCAATCATTGCATAAATCTAAACGAAAGATAGGGAGTATTTAAATCAAAATAGTACATGATACTCATACCATAGTAGCAATTTTTCCTTCGGTTGTTTTTGGGGTTATATTTCCGTATCCTATAATAGAAAAGAAAAGAATATCATATGATTTTATGAATTTTATATTTAGTTTTACCTATTGTGGTTATCACAGTTGCTGCATAAAGCATTGCCGATGAAAATGTCCATACTTGCATTGTATTTGATTGTTGATTTTGTTCATCCATATATTGACTTTTTTCTTCAGCATGAAAATATTTTAATAATTCATTATTAACATGTTTTTTCCAAATATGTTGTTCAACTTCTAGCTGCCAACCGTCATTTTTTTCATCATGTCTTGACAAACCACCTACGGTAAATTATTTCTAATAATTATTTCTTATATATGTGATAAATAGTTAGAATATTACCTCTCCATAAAGCGTATTTTAATTCAAACGTATTATTTAGAACACGATTAAATTCTGTATAAGCTAATGCGTACAATTGTTCGACAAAATTTTGACGATATCGTACTTTTTCTTCTAAACGTTCTCGTTCATGGCGTGATTCGATAGCATCAAATATCAAACCGCCCAATATCACATAACCAACAACAAGTCCACCTTGAAGATAAAAAAATATGTGATTTTTTCTTTTGTTTATCAGAAACATGTGTATTATACCTAATCCAAGTTGACTAAATGTTATTTTTGATACTACACGTAAACAATGTCGACATTTTTCTTTACGTGTGGCTTTCTCACTTGATATTTCATCATCTCGATAATATTGTCCATCAGTTGTTGGTCGTTTTGAATTATCAACAGTTTCTTTTGAATCAGCATCATGATACTTCTCCTTTGGATACATTCCTAAATGAGAAAAGATAGATAACTGGTTGTTTAATCAATTCAAACATCAATTCAATTTTGAGTTTTGTAGATTTGAGTACGTCGCATCTCTTTCCACTACATCGTGCTGCTTTCGATAACTAAACTTTTTAATTGCCTTTTCCTTCGACATCTAATCGTATGCAGAGAAATTTCTTCGTCTCTTATGTAGTAGATGTGCAGTTTGCCTTGATATGGAGACAAGTTGTAGTAATATTGATTAAGAAATTATTCTATTCAAAGTATGAAGAGGATATACAATGTATTACCTCTTTGTATTTTTGGAACTGGTATATCTCCCTCATCATCGAACGACAATATAGGTGCTGACATTCGCTCATACTTAGCACCAGTTGATCGTAGATCACGTGTTTGAGGTGCTTTATCAGCAAATTTGAACTAAAATAAAAAGCAGTACATTTGTACATCATTTTTGTACTATGAAAAGTCTAAGATTATAACCTAAAATCTTACGTGTACTGTTTCACTGGTAGATTTAGAGTGAGCATTTTCTAACAATAGTTTAGATATAACAGGGTCGTGATGTTGTGTGAGATCTAATGAGGATGAATAAGAACGATTTGAAAATGCAATTGGTAAACGTTTAATTGAAGATGGAGAGGAGTGTGGAGAGATGTTAGATCGTCTCCAAAATACGAGATGCATCAAGATTATTGATTAATTTCTTTTAAACACAAAGTAATAAGAAAAAATGAGATATTTTTTCTAGTTTAAAGATAGAAAAAAGATCAAAAAACTTATATTAAAACATGCGTTTTCTTTTCATATTTTGTATCACTAATTTCATTTTTACTACATTCTTCAAAATGAATGATATGTTTTTTTTGTTCATGCACTACACACTTTTTCAAAACCAAAAAGGAATAAAAGAATAAAGAGAAGCTTAGATATTTTTTCAAATTATTTCTGACAAAATCTTTTCGAATAAAATATTAATGAACAGTAATTTAGCGCATTATTGGACGAAATGGGACAATCTACAATGATTTATGTCATTAAATCGGTGATGACTTATTTACTAATCAATAATATGAAATAAGTACTCTTTTTATCGATCAAAATAAATTTCTTGCAATAGTAATAATCTGAAATAGTTACAGTCATATAGGATAACTATGATTAGATCCAAAAAAAATTGCACTATTTTTTGAGCAGATTTAAATGGTGTTCATTCAGACAAAAGCGATATTAACCACGTTGATGAATATGACTTTCCCCTAACTAGGACTATAAAAATTTTCTTTAAAATATTTGAGTGTTAATTAATATTGATCCGTTATCAGTTCATAACCGTCGTAATCTGACCATAATATGGGATGGTTATAATTGATACAACAAAAATGGCTGAAATGAACTTAAAGAACTTAATTTTAACGGAAAATTTTAATCAAACTAATTTAAACTAAACCATCTGTTAGAGTACTCGGACGAAGATTTTTCTGAGCACGGACCGTGTTTAAATAAATCTTTTGGCTGAAATAAGCACCGTTTTAATGGAAAAGATTATTTTAAGCACGGACAATGGATCTGTTTCATATGTAGTAAATATATTTCAAAATCACAAAAACGAAATTAGTGACATATCAAATCACTTGCTATCCGAGAAAAAGTTTCAACGAGGTAAAGCTAATTTAGTTGTTTTTGGATGTTCTCTTTTTTTTCTCAAAATATTGTAAACTGGCAGGATGTGCTACCACGTAATACCCAAATAGCATTATTAGACCGACTGCGTGTTTGGCATAGCTACTGGTCTTCTTGAATACAACTAAGTAGAAACGTGGTCCAAAGAAATGAATGATATTGTTGCAGCCATGTTAAAGGTAGCATTTGGGACGCGCAGTTGTGTTTCACTCTATTAATGAAATATCGAAAACACCGTCAACAACATATTATAACTGGGTCAAATCAAAATTTCTATACAGTACATGCAATAATGGGCAATATGTATGAAGTCCTTCAAGGACTTAAATATTAGATGATCCATCACCAACGAAAAATATTCGTGCTCAAATAATCCGTTTCGTGCTCATTTCAGTCTAGAAACTGTGCTAAAAACTCTATTTTCTCTGCGAGTTGCTAATAAATCAATCTTCTAATTAGTTAGTTAGAAAATAGAAATTGCGAAAGTTAAAGAAACAGTCAGGTGTGTTATTTTTTTAAGTAATTGTGGACAATACATGTACATAATACAATTTAAGACAGAAGATTCTTTTTGTGGAGAAGTAATGTTAGACTTTAGACTTTGATCGTCAAATTAAAATGTTACTTCAATATTAAGCCTTCGTTCGGAGAAGAGATGATACATACTACGTATACCGAGTGGATTGTAATAGGAGAAATGCAACAGACAGTTATTTGTGTCATCTCTCTCTAATAAAATATTTGATAGTACCAAGTGACATTTCATGTTAGTAGCTGAATCGATGTAACTCTAATTCGACAAGTTCAAATTCGATAAATAATAGTCACTGTTATTGACAAACGTGATGTTATTGTGTAGTAAATGTTCATAATTCGATCGTACTAAACATCTTTTACTCTAAAAGAGATGTTTTTTTCAATCAACTCCTCTAATTCTCTATTATGATAACGAAACACTTTATCAATCATACGACCACCTCTTAGAATAAGCTATAATTTGTACCATAAATTAATTCTTTTCTCAAAGCAATTAACTTGACATTACAATTATCAGAAATTTGACATCTCTGTTTAGCAAAATAGTAATAGGATTTAGAAGACAAGTGTGACAGATAAAAATAAAATAGATTTAATAATACCTTTTTATATTCATTGCGATCATCATCATTGTCGTCTGTATGAGTATTTTGATAACATCTAGATATACGACTGTGTTTATCTTTATTTTTACTTATAAATTTAGGTGTTTCGAGATCGAATAATTGAGAACGATATAATAGGAAAAAAGTGTTGTTATTTTACAAGTTTGATTTGATCATCATTNGGGTTTGCGGTTGTTGATGTTGTGCTAGTGGGTTTCTTGAACTCGAATGAAAACGTGCCGCTATCATTTTCTTTTATAAAGTGATAACTTCTTTCGATGATGATGTTGTTAATGTTATTCATAGTTTTTCTGTTATTAGATGGCCACCGCATCAACACAACTATACAACGAAATGATGATCAAATCAAACTTGTAAAATAACAACACTTTTTTCCTATTATATCGTTCTCAATTATTCGAGGGAGAAACATTGTCTATTTTGAAGTCAAAATAATAATCGTGTTATCATTGACAACATCTGATTAGAAAACTTGTCTCATTCAACATGATACGGTTCACGTACAGTGGGAATGAAACACTTGATTATAAAACAAAAAAAATTATTCTTTGTGCATTATAACTAACTAACTAACTATAGAGAGAAAAATCCAAACACGCATAACTATTTATGTACGTATTATGATAAAAACAAAGATAAAGATAACTGCTTTTTTTGTGTATATTATATTTATCCTGCTGATTTTTCTTTTACTGTTTTATGTTTATAGAAGACGTTTCGAGATCGATGACATATATTTTAAGTATAACTTGTACAGATCTGTGTGTCATCTCAATATTCATCTTACTCTGAACTGTCAACTACAACTCTTCGTCTTCTTTTACTGTTTTTTCTTCTTTGATTTAGGTGTGTTCTCAAAGATTGCATGACTACTATAGTAGTCAACATGAAACACTTAGTTTTTTTATGAGTTGTTTAATGGAGATGTGTGGTTTCAAGGGAAAAACGAGCGAATACTCGGAGAAGTTTTTCTCTTCAATTTGCTTACTTTGAAATTACTATATTGTCTTCAAATTAAAAGACAAATTTTTTTTCTATTTTTATCATTCATATTAGTTTTTTTATCTGGAAAATGAGAATTTGGATATAGTTTTCATTTAACAAACGTGTATGTTTTATTTTTCTTAAAAAGTTGTGCTAAATGAGAAAGCATACAGAACATATAACAGGCAATAAATAGCATTTTACTATATAAATAA